ATGAGATTATGCAGGTGTAAAGCCCGTGGCAGGAAATACTGCCTTTTAAATTAATTTCAGGGAACGTTCGTCGTACACAGAAGCGACGAGCTGTTTGTCCTTTCGTCGTGTAACGCCTCCTGGTTCACTCTTCTCACCCTCTTCGCCTCTTTGTTCCACCCCTCTACCAACCTCCACTCTCGCCCCTGCTCGCCAAACCTTCATCTATATCGCATCCTACCCGTTGGATCGGTTCCAATTGCGAATTGAACCGTTCGTAACTGTTGAACGTAAATTATGGCGTTTATTTATTCTGCCTGTCCCCTGTGCCCCACCCCCACCTTGATCGTTCGCAACCATCTATCCTGCTACGCCTCCGAAATCAGCATTTCGCGGACGATGGTCCGGTTTCGTGCCGCGACATTCATTTTCCTTGATTATTATCGATAGGAAATCGCGGGATCCCACTTTCGCAAAGTGATTGATACGTATAACACCGAGCTGATACTTCTGAAGTTTCCAAACTTCCAAAACCTCAAATTTAACTCTCCAAACTTTCGAAACTTCCTAAAAGCTAAATCTTCGTCCCCTTTGTGTCCATAAATAAATACGCCCGTTTGGAATATTTTCGTGTTAACAAGAAAATACGCGAACAGGCGAAAACGACATGTATATGTTGACCTACTACCTTTAGCAGGTGAAAAAGGTAAATTGTATTATTCAAATGTAGTGCGATGAAAACTGGCCAGTCGTTTTCCCGAGGAAAAACAAGGGAGGGCTGTCCCCGAATGAGAACATGAAACGTTCCTTTTAAGACTGACTTAAACTGTTATTTGTTCTCGTTTGACTCGAAGAGGAACAGTGCACTGCTCTGACGTATCTGCGACGTTTAATTATAAATGGAATGTTAATGAGGCCTTTTTATACTATTCAAAGCCCCCTTTACAATTTTAAACATAATGGCCGGGTAAAGACAATGAAAAGAGGTACAGCAACGTCGAGCAACTAAATTGAAGAAATTATTAACGTTAACTATGGAAATTTATCAATTGTTCTTACAATTAAGAAGATTGCTGTCAGTAGTTTTTTTCTTCGAGCGCATATTTCTCGGTTAACGAAAAGTTGAAAGCATCTCTCAATTGAATAATATTTTAAAATAATGAACATTAATTCGGGAAATGAAAATGTTTCTCCGCTTCCAATTCGAATTCGTACGATGGTAAACAGATTTTAATTACTCGAATGGAGTTATTGAAACCTGCAGCTTGATTAATAAATATTACATTTGCAATGGTAGGGTGCGGGTAACTAACGGTTAATTAAAACACGAAACATTAAGCGGCTCTATAAAAGCCACGTGACGGTTCATGGAATTTATCGGTGAACCATATAACGGAACTGTCGGCAGCGAAACCCTAAATGGCGCGTATATGGGGTGAAATCTTGAAAGCAATAATATTCACACCCTCGTGGGGTCATCATGCACGAGCAACGCCACTTTTTCGTCGATAATCCTCCCACCAGAGCGATCCCGTTTCGTAACAGACCCGCTCTATCTATCCACGTGTCTGTAGGGTAGTTTATTATTCATTGGGGTTGCATCCCCAACGTGGATAAACGACGCATTGTATATGCATTAGCCCACACTCTGCCTCTGGCCATCTTTCGCTCTGGCTATCCAACAGAATCCATCTTTCCACACATTTTATCAGCCATCTAAAGCTTCCCTCGCTAATTATTGCCTCGCTAAGTATCGCGATACAATCTTTATATTTTTCTGCGTTCTCGTTAATTTCTCCTTCTTTATTAATTTGCTGCAAACGGCGTCACTTTTCACGCTCGATCTTCCAAATAATCTGATATCTACCAGACGAATCTTAATGATACTTCTTGCAGTACCGGCTAGCGTGCCTCTTTCCATAAAGAACGTTATTTACGACACGTTTTTCGGCCCTGGGAATGAATGAATTCGTAGCGAAAATTGAAAGAGAGAAACAACCGCAGCTTTTTCTGTCATCGTTTGAATCGAAGTCGGGGGCCAGATAAGAACCAAAGCGATTAATCACGAATTTCTGTCGCGGACAATCGGAGCACGAAATACAAGCGGAACAAAAGGAACCAGGCCGCCTCGTATGAATAAAATAACCATTAATTCCATCCGGTCCGCGGGACCGAGTGATAAAATTCACGGTAGAGAAGACAGCGTTTCTATAATTTCGAAACGAATCCCGCTTGTCGTGTGTCGAAAAACGGAATGAAGTTAACGAATCTCTCGCGTACTTCAATTTTTTGCAATCCGACCGCCGAAGGATTCTGTCATCGGGTGACACATTTTTCCCTCAACTTTCTGATCTCGGTCACCGAAACTGTTTTCAAAAAGGCACTTCGGTCTTATTACTTCTTCCCCGCTTGGAGAATAATTTTCCCCTTTCAAAGAACCTCGGGTGGCAATTACGAAAAGTGGTTCGTTTTCGAGACACTGAAACACTCCTATTACTCGATAAGGTGAGTTGCAAAATTGCTATGCAGCCGGGTGGAAATTTGAATACCAAAGTTTCAACTATTTCAAGTTCACTCGAGAAGTCTCGAGAAGTTAAATTTGAATTAACGAGATATTAGTGTATAATACTGCACAATTATATAGTTATTTTATACATAACATTGTTGATCAAGAATAGTTCCATAATCACAATATCGAAGTCGACGGAAGAGAACTTCGTGTTCCATCGTAGCAATCCACGTACAAGAACGTACAGTATACAGTAGAAGAAACGCAAACGTAATTTGCGAAGAACGAGGCGAACTAATATTATGATTATTTCAACAAGTGGTACAGTTTTGAAAACAAGGAGGAGAACGATACCGCAACGAGCTCGTGTAAAAATAGTCGGAGAATATGTAAATGTTCGGTACGGGTTGAAAGTTGGTTCGCGAGCAAACGTACGGGATAAAAACGGCCGGCAACGACATGCACAACACGAGCACGAATTTTCTTTCGACTTGACGACGATTCCCATCAAACGTTGTTGTTCGCCTAAGTTTTTTCTCCTCGTTGCTCGGAGCAATCTCCGGCGAAGTAGCCGCCGGCAAAACAATAGTTTCGACCAGTAATCCCCGGACTGTGTTTTAATCTGAAAGAAGCCTGGTACGCCGCTGATTGCATTGCATAGTAATCTTAGTTTTTACCCGTGTCCTCGGGATTGGTGGAGAGACTGCAACTTCTCCGTTGTGCAACCAGCACCGACTGATATTGGGGTCACGTTAACCGAGAGCCACCGTTATACACGCCATCGAGTATAATCGGCCAACAATAAGGATACCAAACGGATTCGATGCAATCAGGAGAAAGCTTCGGATAAATAGTCTGACATAAATGGCAGGTTTGATTAATCGAGGCTTAAGCTGTCCCCTCTGCTTCGGATTTTATTAACGAGTGACAGGGTATAAGTATTATGCATAATATTTATCTATAGATACTGTAGATCCAATCTGCATACTTGAATATTTTTGCAAAAAGTGCTGAACAAAGGAAAATTCCTGGAAAAGCGATGTATTTGAAGGTACGAACAATATCGAGCATATGAAGCTTCGGATTCATCGAACTCAACATTTTTGAACCGGTATCCTATCAAAGAGATTTTTTCAGAATTTAATTAACTGTTTCGAATGAATATTCTGCATGCCAACGATACGGAGGAAGAAATTTCCTCTCCGGCAGAAAAGTTGAAGGAAAAAGAAAGGTGAACGCGTAGGTGGTTGCTCAGCGAGCGTGCTTTCGAGAAATACTTATTCCTCGGCTAAAGAAATCGTGAGAGACCGACGAACGCTTGGGATATTGCCTTTTTTTCTTTCTAGAACGTAATCAAGGCGTGAGTGGCACTCGAAGAACTAGACGACACGAGCACCTTAACAGAAAACTCGATGTCGGTGCTGGATAGAGGAAAGAGAAGCTCGGTCCGTCCGAGTCCATGCATCGATATCGGTTTTCAATGAAACGGAAACTAGGAAAAGTTACTGCGAAATTTTCGTCCATTAAACGCGATGACGTACACGCAATGGAATTTATCGTGTTCCCTCTCGATTTTAACGGCCAACTCGACAAGTACTTCCCGCTCTCATAATCATTTATATTTCTGTAATATCCAAACTTCCCAATCTCCGAGTTCTCGATTTTCCGGAAGTCTGAATTTTCATATCCGTACGATACGTGCGAAAGTTTCATTTCGAACGCGAAACAGTAGACGAATATCGTAAGTTAACGAATGTAATATTTCGTTATATGACACGGAACGTGTATAACATTCTTCGGTATCGTGCTCGCTTCGACGGCGTATTAATTCGATAAATTACCGATACTTCACGAGGCGGTACTTTTCCGTACAAAAGGACCGGATAATAGAACATAGCACGTATCGTAACCGTGTGGTCTATAAATTCGATGGTTTGATTCATACCACGCGAGAACGTAAGAAGGCAAGATTTATTAAGCCTAGTACTATGAGAAAATCCACGAGCGGAAATGGGAAATCATTCGGTTTCGTTGGCGGAAAAGCAATCAGCGAAATTGATCTTGTTGACATCTGACACGTAAATGGTACACGAGCGGTTTGGAAATAAAATTTGGAGAACCGGTGAACCGACGCGATTACGCGCTCTAAATTGCAGCAGTTGCGGTATATTTAATGGAAATGAAAAGGGACAAAGGTTGCGGCTTATCGATCGTATATTGGCCTGGTCAAAGCATCAAAACTCTCACCCGAATTCGCGTTTGACCTGTCCTCTTCTAACGGCAACCCTCGCGAATCGTTCTGTCAATCGTCGTTCAAACAATAGTGAAAAAAATAGTACACATTTTTGATCACGCGGATAATATTAGTTCTATCAGATGGTATTGACATTCGTTTCAACTATTCTCGTATGGTTACTCTTTGCCGTGACACAGTCACGGAAACATTTTATTCCGTTCTATTAACGTAGAGGAAATGTACATGGGTTGTAAAAGTTAGAAAAAAATCACTCACCAATGCTTTTCACCGTTGGAGATGCCGAAGGTTGCGCGTAGAGAATATGGGTGCCTCCGAAGAGTACCAGAACGATGGGAAAAAACTTCATACTGCTCATCGTTGCTTTGCTATTCCATGGAATTTCTGAAAATAGAAAAACAGTAAAAATTAAACATCGTCTCTTTTATTTCGAGTCGAGTTAGCGATCGATTGAATCCTGCACGCTAATTGATTCGAGAATTAATCGAATTAGCCTGGAACAGCGTTATGTGTATTTCTCCTAACTGCGAAGACAATCCGCTACACTCGGTGGAGCATAAATTACGGAAACGCGCAAGAACGATGTCACGACATTCGCGGTTTCCGTAATAACATCCTTACCGAGTTTACGGGAGACCATAAGTCAGGATCACTCCGTACCAACCCCTTGTTCATTTCCCGAATTCGTTCAGGGACGTGGCAGGTTCTTCGAACAGTAGACCTCTATCTCCGCAGCTCAGAAACCCTTTCGTCCCTCGAGTCCGTAGCTAGTTCTCCGACAAGCAGCCAACCCGATTCCGAGCAGCATTAATATGCCTCAACCAACCCCATCCACGCTTCGTTACGTGGCTTCTTAGGTCTGATAAGACCTGGAAGGAGCGACAAGGACGCTGCTTAGCTCGAGCAAATCTATTTTAAATTCTCCGGGCTGCCTATCCTCCACCCCCCTCGAACCAGGTTGCATCCCCGCGAACGACCGCCACGGCATGGTGTTTTCAACGGCGTTGGTCCCGTGGCATATTAATTTCCGATAAATCAAACCCCTACCCGCAACCTACCCCTACCTTTATCGAAGCTTCCCAGCGTCAAGCCGCAGCGATCCGATCGCTGTATCAGAATCTCATTTAGCGGAGAACGCTCGCTTCTGCTGCTTTATTTTCCGCCAATTTTTATCTCCGTCTTCCTTCTTGTTTTTGTTCACCAGATGTAACCGTATCGGAGAATGATCACGCCGCGTAAATATAATAACTTCTTTAATCTTGGAAAGCGTCAACTACTTAATCTTGTCAAAATTTCTACTCCTTGCAAAATTTGATAAATTTTAAATGTTACGCCATGAACTATAGAAACAGCAAGACCACCTTTTCTAAGGGATCGTGGTCGAACAAAACGGTTGAACTTCGACGAGAGGCAAGCCTGTTGTAAGATTCACGAAAGCTCGTTTATCGGGGTACGATTCGATTGACGAGAGGGTTGGAAGGAGGTGGAATTTCCGTCGTGTGGCGAAAAGTGTTCGGTTAATGCGGCATCGCGATCAAAGAAGTCGATGAGATCGATCCGTGATCATAAATCATGGCTGGAGGGCGGGGAAAATAAATGTCCTGTCTGACTGGCGTTGAAAGAGGCAGGAACAATTTACGATTAACTTGTGTGACGTATCGAACGAGCCGAGTGAGAATAAATCTCTCGTCATTCGAGAACCTTCCTTCCCACGCTCTTAGAAAGCAACGTTTCCGTCGGTTGGATAAAGAGAATTCATGATTAACGACGCGACTTCGAGTGAACCGTTTAATCGCGCAATCGACGAGCATACACGCTTTTCTGCACGAAGAAATTCCCGCCACTACCCCCAAAATCAACTTAATTTAAACGGAAGTTACGGGTTGCACGTTGCGGCAGACAATGTCGAGTAGCTTTTAACATCCGCTTTGTTATCGTTTTATGCACGCGGAACTTACGAACGCAAACTCGGGAAACTATCTTTTGCTCGTGAAAATAGCTTCCTTCTTGTTGTCTGATATTTATTGAACCGCCCTTAGAAGCTTCCCTTACAAATATCTTGAAAATGCGGCTTCTCTGAACGACACGGAAATTATTGGATTATTGTGATAGCGCCACACTAATGATTTCAGCACAGCAATTTTTTAATTTTTTAATCGTATACTTATTCGAGTGAACGAGTAGCAGTGACCTCCACAGAAACGAACGCGTTAAAGATCACCAGGAATATTCTGTGTCAACTACCGTTTCTTGATTCCATTGAAGATCAGTGTGAAGTGAACAATCTTGCACAGAAGCATTGTCACCAGCGGCGAGATCGATATCCATCGTTCAAAAGCGACTAAAAATCCATTGAATCGAGCTCTGGAGCGGTCTTCGTCCGAGCACAAAAAGGTCACAGATATCGGACGAGTCGACAACGAGCGTAACGCTTTGATTCGAGCACACAATGCGTTCTGGAAATAAGCGAGGCCTGGTAGATGTGCACGCACGAGTTGCGTGCAACCGCGAATTCGTGCGACTGTGAATAGATCCTTCGAGGGGTGCATTTTTGTAAAATATTCATGAGTACACGGCTCGTAAAGCGCAACCGGCCTTACGTTATGGCTTTCGAGTAGCAAAAGTTACGACTGCTTCGCTCGCGTCATACAAACCAACGGTTTCAAAACTAACGCAACGCTAAGGCCTCGCTCTTGAGCAACAGACAACCCTCGAGACCGGTGCGTTTATATGCGACGTTGAAACGAGCCAGTAAAGGGAGCACGTTCATGTTGGATGGAATAAAAGAATCAAGAGGCGAAATTCGAGAACCGTGGTTACATCGTGCTTCCGTGGAACCGGTAGAAGCACGACCACGTTTCCGTCTCGTTTCAACGAGATGGCTCGTACGCCACGGGATACGTAAGACTAAATAGAACCATTTTTCCTAGTAATTTCACGGTGCTGCTGCGCTAAACGACGTCATTCGCGCGATTCGATACTCGGCCGACTTTCAGTTTCAGCCAGATCGATGTTTAAACGGGAACGATCGATGCTATTACCGGCAGAATGAATTCGCAACGAATGGCTAATTTGCTCGAGTGAAATCTACCGTGCGAGTACACGCTTCGTGTAATGTACAGATTATTTGTTGGAACAAAATTCAGTCCTGATTGGAGCTTTTAACGGACCGAGTGATTAGTTCGCGAAAGATTTGTTTCAACAACGCGTTAATTAAATTATTGGAAATTCGAAGATGAGCTCTAACCTTCGTAACGTTGAGTTAATCTTTAGCTTTGTTCCATAAATACTAGTCACCGTATCGTTTTCCTGTTTCGAAATTATACTCTGTGCATTGTTTGCTTTCCATGTACTGTGCTAACAATGTATACCGCCTGTAGCCAGTGTCACGGGGATGTATCGCGTGTACATTTGAGTCTATGCAAACATGCAATCTCCCCTTACATAGCTAAAAATCAACATCGGTCTTACAATTAGAATTAGTTCGTACCGACGAAGAGGTTCGTGTTTAATTTTGATTATCTTAAGCACGGTACACCAAGTACGCGCAACACCGATGGAGGTCCAAGAAAAGATACGGCGATAACCATTGTCGACTTTCAGCTTCTCCAATTTGCAACTCAATATCCCAAGTTTGAATATTCAGTATGAATACATATTTATACACGGGAAATGACCTAAATGAAATGCAGATTTTGCAGCATACGTGGAAGACGCGTAATTGCTTCTCTTTAATTCTTTTTCGAATTAAGTGTACCCTAGCCACCCCTAAAATTATCGAAACTGTACTTCGACGTTCGTACAACTGTTCGAAAATTCATGTAACAGCATAAAAACGGTATCCAAGAGATATCAGAACGGTTCCAAAAAATAATCACTCATCGGATTAAACAGAGATCTTTTTGATAGAAAATACTGAACTTTCAGCAAACGTGGAGAGAAATTCCCCGACGACATAAAAGGAGTAATACCAATCCGTTTTTTGTTTTTTATTCAAAAGGGTACAGCGTCAATTTATCGTTTCCCTTTTGGACACGCGCGCAGCCCGGGTTGATGTATTTACAGTTCAACCGAAAAAAATGGGCTTACAAAAATTTCACCGATTCACCGGTTTAACTGTCCTGCGCGTTCTGTAAATAAATTGATATTTGCAACGTTTCAAAGGGTTATTTCGGTCTGAGCTAAGTCGATTTCTGTCCTACGATTTCTTACGCGACGTATCTATACGCGTGGAAAGCAATGTAACACGTTTTCCATGCTTTCCTCGAGCTCGTAAGTCTGTCAAATATATCCGGTTTATTACACTTTTGCTCCATATATCAACACCGATAACCATTAGCGCCATTTTTCTGCTATACCGTTGAATAATATGCGATAATAAATAGTTCTCACCCGATCGAACGAGTTGGCGAGGTACTTTCCGCTTGTGATCGATTTCGAATGGAAACTTCTTCAAGACATCGATGAAAACAGTAGGAAAAATTTCGTCCATATTTCTTCGGGCGTTTACTTTTCTTTCCGACGAAAATTGCACGCGAATTACATTATACGTTACCACACCGTACTGTAACTTGTGCATATCTCAATGTCCCCTTATTCGCAAACTTCTTGTTCATTTTAAGATTTCAACATCAGCAAATATTCCTTGTACAATCATTAAAACATCGATTAAAACAAGATGTTTACTACAGTGCAGAGTTACACGGTGTTACGCGAATATAAAAATATCGGAAACTTCACAACTCCGAAGACACCGGCTTAATGCTTGCCGTTAGTACTTCAAAGAGGGTTAAATCAGAGATTAACTTTGATCCCTCAGTCATGTTTCGGATTGATTCTGAAAGCTACTTGAGGCGAAATTGAAGTATACTCGTACGATACTGGAAACGTTTCTTGAGCGATTAAAAATCTGATACCGTCATCGTCTTAGTAACCGTGTTTCTCTTTGAACCCGACGAATTAGCAAAATTAATTTAGCAAGATGTCTCTGCGTTTGCGTAACAGATCATTTCATAGAGATTTTATCAATAAATTAAATTACTATCTGATGCAGAAACGTATTCGTGTTAGAACTTCGACGGCATATGCAGATACTTGAACCATGAATCAAGCGGCAATATTTTTTAGACCGCTCATAAATCCAGCAACTCGGTCACTGTTAATAATACACGCTGTAACGTGTCTGTTGTTGCAAGTGCAGCGACATTAGTCCCTCGTGTCGAGCATTAATCCACTTCAAAGTGGAAAGGACGACGTCACGCGCAGAGTTTCACAGGATGACGTATTGTTTCCCTAAAATATAGGATTCCCATTGATCAGTCGGCGTTCACTTAGCCGAGCTTCGTCTTTGCATACGGCCATTGTCTGTCCCGGGCACCGTGCAC